AAAAAAAAAAAAAAAAAAAAAAAAAAAAAAAAAAAAAAAAAAAAAAAAAGCATAAAATTAAAAGCTAAAAGTCAATTATTAGGATGGGACAGATCTTGGGATTTGTGCAGAGAAAAAAAAAAAGAAAGAAAGAAGGGCAGAGCTTAAATTAAGGGCAAAAAAGAAATGTGCAATGTAAATATACCTATACTTTATACTATAAATAAATATCACCATTATTTTGGTCAATTTTCTAGATCATTTTCACCTTGAACCATTTTCAATTTTCATGCACCATCTTATTCATCTCCCACTATTGTCCATTCTATATTCTTATGCTCATCATAATCTATATCCTATTATCACATTAATCTTTCTTCTCATTATTATTCAATTTTATCTTTTCATTTTCTAAATTATTAAATCAAATGCTTCTATATTCGTTTGGTAGCTCTTGTATTTAAATTTCTGACCTCTAGATGGAAGGTAGATCTTATCCAATTGAATTATATGCATAAATTGATGTTTTGCTTGTTATTTTTAAAAATAATTCTTAACTAAAATTTAAGGCTAAGTATATAGTTTGATTTTTTTTAATTTTTCTAAATTTTTTTTACTAAGTTACAATTTCATCCGTTCATTCATTTTTCTTTGTTGCAATCATTATGAATTTAAAATAATAGTTATTATGACCTTGTTAATCCTTAGTATACCAACATTTTAATGAGTTTGTTTTTACTCTTATCAATGATAATTTTTAAATTAGATCAATTTAAGCTCGGTTTACTAATATTTTATTTTAGATTTATGTTTCCTCTAAACTTGTCTGTGTGTGGTTTTTGTTTTTATTTTATTATTTGAATTCTTAATTAAATTAAATTAAATTATATATATATATATATATATATATATATATATATATATATATATATTATATTTAATTTAGTTTAGTGAATTAGGTTTTTAAAAAAATGTTTAGAAAATAGATAAAAAAAAATAAATTCATAAATAATATATTTGTAAGTATTAAAAAAAAACTAATCAAGGGCAAATATGTAAAATGAAAGCTCCACCCCATTACCCATCCCTAAAAAAAAAAACCAACCACCAAATATGACAAATGTACGGGAAAACATCTTTATTGGGCATCAAACCATGTTTTTTTTTTTCTGCTTTTTCTCGCATATTATATTGATTTCCCTTAATTTATTATTTATAACGAACCATTAAAGGGTTTTTTTTTTTTTCTTTTTTGGAAATAATATATCATTTCAACTCCAAAAAAATTGCTAATCCAAAGGTACAAAATTAGGAAACAAATATTCTTTCTTTTCTTTGTCTGCAATTATATATAGCACCATATATTTATATATAAATCCAAATTAAAAAATGGCTGTGTTTTTCTGTCTATTTATTTATTTATCATTTAGAACATGAGATGTTTCTCTAGTAATCATTATGATTATCCACGTCCTCCTAATTTTTGCTTATTGTTACTTAATTCTCTCAATCATTGGCTGTATCAATATTATTAACGATTTTGATAGATATCCCCTAAGTATAATTATTGAATGTTGATTATGTAATATTAATTATTGACAATAATTATGCTTGTATAATTAGAAAAAATTTAAACCAGCCCATTTATATAATTAAGACATATATCTTTGATATGTTGTTAAATTAAAATAAAATTAAATAAATTTGGAGACGTCAATTAGAATAAAACTAGATTAAACTCATTTTAAATTTCAAAAACTTATCACACCAACTTAAAATTTGATGGACCTCAGGTATAACCTTTTTTAAGTTTTTTCTTTAAGAAAAAAAAAGTTTTGACTTGAAAATTTACTATTTCATAGAGTGGTGAGCATCTGAAACTAATATCCTTCATTGTCTCATAACAAACTGATAGAGGAGAAACCCAAGAATAGAATTAGTCCGTTAATTTGACAACCTGCATTTCTCATGGACTCAGGTAAAAATTCATCATTTAGGGTTTGTCTCTATTTATTCAGCTTCCCAAATTTGTAATCCTTTGCCGGAAAATGATTCGTGGGATTTTTGTGTGCTTGATCAGTTCATAATCATCCTCGGTCAGGCCATTGGGCGGATCTTTCTCTTCTTTTAACCGCTCACAAATATTTGTATACTTATGTTCTTCATTACCGTTTGGATATAGTAGAAAAGTTGCTGAATTTTCAATACAATGTTCAATTTTTGTGCTTGTGTGAATTTCAAGCAAGAAACCAGGTAACTTTGCTTCTTTTTTCTTTAACTTTGTGTGTTGAAAAGAAAATAAGTTTATGGGTTTGTTTGGATTGCTTTCAGCGACGAGGAACGGCGGAGGGATGCGTCGATCAGGAAAAAAAAATTCAAGAAGAGTTTAAAGGAGGCATATAATGTTCCTTTGACTTTGGTTTCTCCACGTGAATCTCTAAATTACAGGGAGGATCGAATTATCAATCTAGATGTGTAAGTCTCTAATGTTCATTTCTTCATTTGAGTTTAATACTAAAATGAGAATCGTATCGATATTTCGAAAGATAATTGGTTTCTAAATTTTAAAATATGTGACTCTGTTTGGTTCGTTTTTTTGGCCTCAAGACTTGTTTGTTTGTCTTTTTATCTTCTAATGAATAGGTAATTATATAGTTTCTATTAGAATTTGTTTAGATTATTGATGATTAAGTTTAAAACAAAAATTGCAGAGGAGACCCAATAATGTACGAAAAGTTTTGGAAGAAAATGGGGAAGAAAGCGACGATAGTGATATCAGGGTGGCGATACATGAGTTACCTCTCCGGCGGCCAGAGTCTTTGCTGGTTTCTTGAGCCTGATTTATGCCAGCAAATTCTCCGATTACATCGTGTCGTCGGCAATGCCATAACCGAAGGCCGTTACATCGTCATCGGGACCGGCTCCTCCCAGCTTATACTGGCGGCACTTTATGCCCTCTCTTCGCCCAATTCTTCTCAACCCACCAACGTCGTCTCCGCCATCCCATACCATTCTGTGAGTTCTTTTAACAACTTAGCCATACTAAGATTGTAGGACGTGTTTGGATGGGAAATTTTTTCACATTATTTGAATGTTATAAACTCATTTCATTATGGTTTGAATACAGTCATATCCATCCATGAGTGACGACTTAAAAACAAGTGTTTTCAAATGGGGTGGAGATGCCACTACATATGAGAAAGATGAACCTTATATAGAAATCGTCACTTCTCCCAACAACCCTGATGGTTCCCTACGTGAACCAGTGGTGAACCGGACAGGAGGCAAAGTGTTGCATGACCTTGCTTACTATTGGCCTCATTATACTCCAATCACTGCTCCAGCTGACCATGATCTCTCTCTGTTTACTTCCTCCAAGTGCACTGGCCATGCCGGCTCTCGAATCGGGTTAGTTCTTATAGTCAAAAGTATGAATTAAATGTTAGGAATTAATATTGTCCATTTTAAGCATAAGTTCTCACGTCTTTGCTTTTGATTTTACTGAAAGGTTTCGTACCAATAGAAATGTATTACTTACTTATAAACTCATGATTATTCTCTTAATTAGTCAATATCGGGACTCTCTCCCAACAATCCTCAACAATCCTCCCCTCGAATAAAGTATACCATAGAGCCTCTCATAAGGCCCATGGAGCCCTCAAACAACCTCCCTTTAATTGAGACTTGACTCCTTTCTCTAGAGACCTCGAACAAGTCACACCCTCTTTGTTCGATATTTAAGTATTCTATTGACATGACTAAGTTAAAGGTTCGATATTTAAGATCCTCTACAATCGTATGATATTGTCCACTTTAAGCATAATCTCTCGTGGCTTCCCTTTTGGTTTCCTTAAAATACTTCGTACCAATGGAGATAATGTTTCTTATAAACTCACTATCTTCCTCCCAATAATCCTTCATATCACTGATCTTTGTTGTGCTTAGGTGGGCTCTTGTAAAAGATCCAGAAGTAGCAATGAAAATGGTGAATTTCATCGAGATGAACACGATCGGAGTGTCTAAAGATTCTCAACTTCGCACGGCAAGGATATTGAGCGTAGTATCATCTAGTTGTGAACAAGCTGGGAGTTCAGAATATCCAGAATCCTTTTATGGATTCGGCCATCGCCTCATGACAGAGAGGTGGAGCCGTCTCAAACAGGCCGTTAAACACAGCGGAATGTTCACTCTCCCAGACTTCCCCACCGCTCACTGCACCTTCCACGGCCAACAAACTCAATCCCGAACAGGTAATCCCATTACCATTACACTGTCCAAAGATTTAGTTTGTAGAGCTATTTATATAGTTGTTTCGGTTCATTATTAAAGCTATTTATATAGTTGCTTCGGTTCATCAAATCAAATAACTTCGATTGTATATTGAATTTAGTTTTCTCCAACATGAGCTTTCTGTCGTCAGCTCAGTTCATAAAAATCTGATTTATCTGGTTTGGTATTTAGCTTTTGCATGGCTAAAATGTGAAGACGATGAAGAAGACTCCGCAGCTTTACTCCAACGCCATAGAATAATCGGTCGAAGTGGAGTAAGTTTCGGTAGCGAGGCGAACTTCGTACGTGTCAGCATGATGGATCGAGACGACAACTTCGACTCCTTCGTCCAACGAATATCGAAAATTACAAGGCTTTCTGAAGACTGAAGAAGCTACATGTCGATCCAACTTCATACCAATGTGAGAATATAATCCAACCACCAGTCGCACCTGCAGTGAGCAAACCAAATATTACATAGGAGTCGAAGGCCCTATAGATATTATAATTTCATTCTTTCAATTTAATTTTGATATTAATATATGTATTCATTTAGATTTATATTTGTATTTGGTTAACTAGGTTAAAGAATATCTATCATATTGTTACTCATTTAATACCATTGAAATCCAATTAATATATACTCGAATTTCTTCAAAGCAATAACATTAAGACACAACCTAAAATAGATGAGTCAATCGATGCTCACCATAGACGAATTGATTGTGAAATCCCACATTGGTTGGAGCGGAGAACGAAACATTTTTTACAAGAGACGAGTCAACTGATGCTCACAACCCCACAAAGGAAAAGCCCAAATCTCCCTACCAGATAGTTATATGCGGTAAGCGTTGCCTTCTTGCTTACATTCCCATATAACACTAATTTCAATTTCTCAAATCTTGCTTTCAAAACTCTCTTTTGAAATCTCTATACTCCGTTTTCTAAAACTTTCTTCTTGAATTGAGGTCAGAGGCTCGAGCATACGTCGTTTGACCTAAGCGACGCAAGAACGAATAGGCTTTTAACTCACTTGTTGTTGAGAAATGAGTGTCGCACAATCGCAAGTCCGCAAGTCTACTTTGATCGGCTCAACTTAAAGTCCAAGTACGCCGCTTTTAGCCTCAAACTTGCCTTTCAATTGATTGAGGACACGACTTAAAAGAGACGCAACCGATGTTCACCATAGACAGATTGATGAACCCAAGAGTTCATCTAAAAGCCTAAGTACACAACTCTATGACTTACCACCTATTACCTTCTCGTTGTTACGTTGACATGATTGCTCGATCTTTGAAATTGAACCATAAACCTGTGTCACCGGTCACGTAATTTCGGAATGGGAGTACTAAAAATAAAAATTAAAGAAATTATCGTAAAATAAGCTTACAAATTATGAAATCACAAGGGGAACAAACTTTCATGGACCTTTTTTTTTTTTTTTTTTTTTTTTCTTTTTAATTCGTGGAGATGATGAAAAAACAACGCACACTTACACATACGGCTCGAATACTAAGAATTCCAAAATTATTAAATTAATTAAATATAAAGTGCAAAAACTTGATCCTAGTTGGGCCATCCGTAGTTCAATGGGCTCACATTATCATTTCTTTCCTCCTTGGGCCTTCTCACCTTCTTGGGCCTTCCCACTTTCTTGGGCCTTAGACCCTTCTTGGGCCGCATCATTTTTAGCGGTACCTTTCGCTTGGGCCTGACCACTTTGTTCAGTCCTTTCTCCTTCCTGGGCCGGGCCCAATTCTTCAGTCTTCCCCTCACCCTGGGCCTTGGTTTGAACTTCCTCCTGCGACGCCGTTTCACGGACCCATTGCTTAGCCTGCTGGATCTGAAGGGTAGCTCCTGATCGTCGTAAAATGTTGGCCATCCAGGACAGAGAAGATAACGCCGTGACCCCAAAAGCTCCGGAGGTGAGAAATCCGGCGACCGAGAAGGCGATGACGACGGCGGCAGGGACCAAAATGGGGCTGAAAATGACAAAAAGTGGAGACACAACGGCCAAGCCAACGACGGTTCCGATGAAGGAGATTCCGGCGAGGAAAAGGAGGAAGGCGGCGATGGGTAACAGAGTAAGAAGAAGTGGGAAAAGTTGAGTAGTGGAAGGAGGATTATCGGACGGGGAAGCTATGGGTCGCCGGAGCTGAGAATCCGCCATGGAATCGGAAATTGGGGAAGAGGAAGAGGAAGAGGAGATTGCTTTAAGGGGAAGAACAGGAACAGATGTAAGAAATTGAGGGATTCGAGGTTTGCATGAAAAACATGTCAATCGGAATTGGATTCTTAGTTGTCATTGTTCATGTTTTTGTCCCTTGTTTGCCCATTGGATTTGTTTTTTTTTTTTTGTTTTTCTTTTTTTTTAAGCTTCAAATTCCTTTCCACTTATCTTTAAAAAACATCTTATAAATTTTAAATTTTAGTCTTTTGATCTTTAAAGCATCCTTTTCTTTTGAAGAGTTTCGAGTTCTAAAGGCTTTCAAGAGTCCTAAGGTATGTTTTACTCGAGGATTTTAAGTACTTGTTCTTTAAGGGTTATTAAGAGTTCTTGGTTTTTAAGTCGTGTTCGCGAACTCTTTTGACCTTCTTTATTATGAACCCTCTCGAGAATTTAATTATGAACCCTACAAATTAAAGAAAGGGTTACTCTATTTATAGATTTTTCATGACACCCGAGTAAAAAAGTGGTACATGAATGAATCGAGATCACATTTGAATGAGAGCAATCTTGAGAATAGGATGACTAAGAAAAGCTTAAAGAAAGTAAATTTACTACCCATACCAATAAAATACACATTCCTTTTCGATAGTTCAATCATAGGAATTTCATGGTTAACGTATTTTCTTTGAGCAATTCTATATTGGGTGTCATTGTAAAAATTTTCCTGAGATGCATGTGAACGAGAACAAATCATATTGAAAATACCCGTATAGATTTATGGGAATAATCTTCACTCTTAAAAAACGAGGAGTAGGTAACGTAGTCATGTCGCAAAAGAACGTCGAGGTCATAAGGTATCAAATTCTAATCCAATCATTAGACGTGGGCCTTGTCAGCTTAATGTCCTAGTTTAGCACTAAGTTTGAAGAATGCTCTTAAGCTTCTAAGGTTGTTAGGTAGGTAGGTAAAGTGGTTTTTCATATGCAATATTTTATAATTATAATTTAATTAAATATTCAAGGAATAAAGTTATAAATAAAAGATGTAATTTTTTTTTTTTTCCTTATAGAAACATTGAGCACAAGGCTTCCTCAACCACTACAAACTTTGCAATCATTATGCCTATCATTATATCATAGTTTCTTGAATAAAATTTGCTCAACATATAGCATTCCCGACACTTTTCTATATCCCGTGAGCTACGATCACGGTACTTATTTATCTTAAATTACTTCTAAGAGTGAAAACTATATATAAAAAAAAATTACACGGGTTCTTTTAGCATGTTTTATTCTCACTCACATATTTTCTAAAAAAATTCAGAAGATCACCCACTGTATCACTGAAAATGAGGATGTAGATGGTTGATATAGATAGTAATTATAAATTCGTCTATCTCTTTCTTAACCTTGATGTCATATTCTCGGGATCATTGTTATGTAGATGTTGTCATAGTTCATTCATGTAGCCCTCTTTTACTCGAGCATCATATGCTCACTAGATTCTACTGTAGTTCGTCTCTAAACCATTCTTTTGATAGAAGTTTCCCTCTGATACCAATTATAACGATATCATATTCAAATTTCAAATCCTTATCCAAAGAGAGACATTACAACAACAATATTCGACTATATGTAACGTTTTCATAATAAATAAAACAATGTTTGACCGAAAAAAAATTCTAACAATTTCTACTCACAGCGAGTTGAATTCCACTCGAGCCTTTCAAAATGTTAAAGATTCATATATCTATTCGTGCACTCGAACAAAACGATAATATCATATGAGAATAGAAGAATTTAAACCTCTAATCTCTTGATCGATAATATTATATCTTAAACATTTCAACTAACACGAACACGTACCTTCATAGTCGGCTATAATAATAATAATATGATACAAACCCTAACAAATCCTGAGTTCTTTTCAAAATATAAAACAAACCCATTTCTCAAAACCCTCAATAGACTCAACCCATTTCACCAAAACCCAATAGAGACAGACATAGATACTCTTCGAGCTAGCTACTTCAACTCTCACATGGAGCCTAAGTCCTTCAAATTCTTTCCAAATTCCTTCAAATTCCTTCAAATTCCTTCCAAATTCCTTCAAATTTCTTCAAATTGCTTCAAAATTCCTTTAAATTCCTCCATTAAAGTACATAGAAGAATTAGCATAAACGATATCATAATTGTTGCTATTCCAAATCATAGGAGGGCTAATGATCTGAGGCTGAGATGAAAAGGGAGCTGAAAAGTCAGTGAAAGAGAAGAGACGAAGACGAGCTTTAGCTGCATCGAGCTCCTTTTGGAGCCTTTGGACCTGTTTTTGGAGGAAAGAAATGGCACCGACACAGCCATAAACAGGATCTTTTATTCTAGCCTCGGCTTCATAGGCAAGTGAAACGACGGCGTCTTGTCTTTGATGAGGAAGAACTTCATTGAGCAGCTTGGCTACGTTGCTTGCACCAAAAACCTTATGAACATTGGCAAATTTTTGAGGGTCCTCTGGTGGAAAATATGGCGCATAAACACACCCTGCTATGCATTTTCTTCTGAGGAATTTGCAGGCTGCACAAGGGCTGTAGTAATGGCTTGTTTCTGTTCTTGATGATGATCCCATTTTGATCTGCAAAAGTGGAACTTCAAGAAATAAATGGTTAATTTTGACCAAAACAGATGACAAATTTGTGGGTTTCTTCAAATTTTGTGAAAAAAACTTCTAATTTTCCAAAAAAATGGTTAATTTTGACCAAAAAAGATGAAAACTTTGTAGATTTCTTCAAATCTTGAGAAAAAAACTTCTATTTTTCCAAACAAGATGGTTAATTTTGACAAAAAAAAGAGATGACAAATATGTAAATTTCTTCAAATCTTGTGAAAAAACCCTCTAATTTTCCAAAAAAAATGGTTAATTTTGACCAAAAAAGATGAAAAACTTCGTAGATTTCTTCAAATCTTGTGAATCCCTTTGGGTTCTTCAATGAAAAATAGAAAACCCCATCTAAAAAAACAGGTAATTTTGGCACCAAATCTCTTCCTTTTTGTTCTTTTGGTACTTTTTGTGTGTGTTCATAACAAGAACAACACGAACCCATTAAGTTCTTTGAAGAAAAGACTGAAAGAGGCTACCTTTTGGGTTGCTTAGAGCTATGAATTTCAAGATCCTTGCTTTGCTGCTTCTTAGAAGAAATGGGTAGCTAACTTTATATGAAGAACACCACCAAATAAGCTTAAATCAGATGAATGAACTCATAATAGCCTTGAATTTTGAAGAACACTCATAGAGAAACCCTAATTTAGAGAGAGAATTTAGTGTTAGTGGAAGGAAAAGATAGAGAAATTAATGGAAATTAGAGTAAAATAGGAAGGAAAATATCTTAAGCTTCATATATTTACTTAAATATTATTGTATTAAAGAATATCTTTCTCTCTCTTTGTGAATTGGGGAATTAGGGTTTATGCTATAGGGAAGGTGCATGTGCCTAGGAATCCATAATTATGACATTGCCTTAAACCATTATAGGACAAGAGACCCATTTTGAATAGGGTTGTTTAATCCATTTGAGTTATCATTTTTCAAAGTTCAATCACGAGTAGGGTCGGGAGATCAACTGCAATTATGAATTGAATGACCGACGAATGTGATTCTGCTACACTTGTTCTAATCCAGTGAATAAGTCAGCCATGAAAAATTTGGGCTTCGTGGACAATGTCGATGTATGCTCGAGCCTCGAGTCATGTTTGCTTGCGAGAAATGTTTTAGAAAATATAAACGAGGAAATACATTTGAAAACAATTTGAATAGGCTTTTTTTAATCCATTTGAGATATGATTTTTTAAAGTTCAATCACGAGTAGGGTCGAGAGATCAATTGCAATATGAATTGAACGACGAATACGAGTGTAAGTTGATAGGATAGTTTACAATAACAAGTAAGTATGATTTATCATATTTATAGTATCTGAATGAATATCGTTAATTAACTACAACTTTGAATTTGAACAAACATTAAAATGAATGGGATGGTTTTAAAAATGGGTGTAATAACCCAAGCCCGCCGCTAGCACATATTGTCCGTTTTAGCTCGTTATATATCGTCATCAGCCTCATGGTTTTAAAGTACGTATGTTAGGAAGAGGCTTTCACACCCTTATAAGGAATACTTCGTTCTCTTCTACCACCGATATAAGATTTCACAATCCACCCTCTTTAGGGCCCAACATTCTAGCTGACACACTGCTCAGTGTTCTGATACCATTTGTAACACCTCAAGTCTACAATTAGTAAATATTATTTATTTTAGTCCGTTAAGTATCGTCGTTGGTCTCACGATTTAAAGATACGTATATTAGAGAAATGTTTCCGCATTCTTATAAGAAATGTTTCGTTCTCCTCTTAAACCGATGTGGAATCTCATAATTGATAATTGTAATATTTGTAATATTTAAAGGGATATCATTAAATAATTGTGTAATAAATGAGATGGTTTAATAAAATTGGTTAAATATTATTGAGTATATTTAGAATATTTAATGGGTTATTATTAATTACATTTAAATAAATTTAATTAGAAACAAAAAAGCCACTTTAATCATTATATTAATTTCCCTTTTGGTTAATTAATTTCAATGATATTATTGATTTTCTTTATATGCTTCCTTTTTATTGTGGGTAAGGGCAAAATTGGAAAGATCTTCTTTACATCCTTTTTAGATTAATTAAAATGGACCTAATTATTAGAGACATGCCTTTTATGGGCCCCACTTTATTTAGATATATTTTGTGGATAATATATGTTAAAATGATTATATATATTTATTTATTTATTTAGATATTGGTATGATATTATCCACTTTGAGCATAAGTTCTCGTAATTTTACTTTTAGTTTCCTTAAAAAAGTTTCGTACCAATGAAGATAGTGTCTCTCACTTCTTTGTTTCACATGGGAGAGATTGTTGGAACACTATCTCTATTGGTACGAGGTTTTTTGGAAGACATGAGAGGTTATGCTCAAAATGGACAATGTTGTACCAGTGTGGAGGGTCATCGATCCTAACATGACATCAAGTCATGTCCTTATCTTAACTTATTCGTGTCAATAGAACTGAACATGAAAGTAGTGAACTTCGAAGGTGTAGTAATAATGACTTAGATAGGTGTTCAATAAATGATGTAACAACTCAAGCCCACCGCTAGTAGATATTGTCCTCTTTAGGCTTCTCCTCAAGTTTTTAAAACGTGTATACTAGAAAGAGGTTTCCACACCTTTATAAGGAATGATTGGTCAAATTTGTTCAAGAGGTGTCGAGATTTTTTTAGGGCTCTAGAGAAGAAGGCCTCGAGGGGAGGCTCACGGTGTGATGTATTCAAGGGGAGTCGAGGTTATTTGAGGCCTCTTAGGATGCCTCGAGGAGAGGCTCTATTGTGTGATTTGTTCGAGGGGAGTCGAGATTGTTTGAGGGCTCCCGAGGGAGGCACTTATTAAAAATAGATTTTTTATTTGGGCTTTTCGGCCCAAAATCTATTGCCCCAACAGGCTTTCACAGCCCAAAGATTAGGCCCAAAACAATTCTGTTATGGTAGGTGCAGTTGTCGGCCGTTTCTGCTTTCTATATTGTAAAATTTTAAAAATGGAATCAGAATTTTTTAATTTTTTTAATAATGTCGATAAGTGATATTTTATTTAAAATTTCAATAATCATATTAAATTATTGATTAATAATAATTGCTTGTTTACTGTATTAAGACCAACGAACAAGATAAGGAATAAGGATAATATATATTTTATGAATTATAATAAAAATTGTATAATTTTATGTGTCGGTATCTCGGGTAAGAAAAATTCAACCCATGATTATACATGATATTAAATATACGATTTTCGTGGACTAAAAAAAACGAGCAGGTAATAGTTATGACACGTCATATCCTATAATGAAAAAAAAAAAAAAAAAGTAGCTCATAATCCTGTTTGTTAGATCTCACATCGGTTGAAGAAGAGAACAAAACATTCTTTATAAGTGTGTGGAAATCTCTTTCTAATAGACGAATTTTAAAACTGTGAAGCTGATGACGATATATAATGGGTCAAAGCGGACAATATCTATTAGTAGTGGAGTTTAGTTTTTAGAAATGATAGTAGAGCTAGAAACTGGGTAGTGTGCTAACAAAGACGCTGACTCTCGAGGGAGGTGAATTTTTAAATCTCACATCAATTGGAGAGGAGAACGGAGTATCTTTTATTCCTTGTTAGATCGCGTTTTAAAGTGAGATTGACGACGATACATAACATGTCAAAGCCAGTAATATTTGTTAGTGGTATGTTTGGGATGTTACAAGTAATTAGATTGATTAAGAGGGGTTATAAAGCAATTATGAGGAATTTAAGAGAAATAAGTGGGCCAGAGGGGGCGGGGAGCAAAAAAAAAAGTGTAATTAGAGTCAAATATTGGGGTCAAATCGGAAGCTGTTACCAACTGGAGACATGGAAAGGTTTAATCAGGAAAATCACATCAATTGCTAATTGGTCCTTTGGGATTAGTGATTTGACATTTAAGCCCCTGTTTTTTATGTGAATTCCAATGGCACTCTTATTGCTGCTTTTGACTTCCTTGTATAAGGTGGGACTGCCACAGACATAATTTTCCAACTTTCAGTGCTTATTTTATCATTTTTATTTTTATTTTTATTTTTATTTGTAGCAGCCTCAAAATTACGTTAAGTTAATTTCTTAGAACTAAATTGGTTCGGTTTGAATTTCGAGCTTATTAACAAATGATATATATATATATATATATATATAAAACACAAATTCTTACCTAGATCTTGCTCATCCCTTACAACACTCAACGTGCAGATAGCAGACGCTCCTCGTCTCAACTTCACGACCCCTCGCCCATGCCCATGTCGCTATGATGCTAGATGCTCTTTGCCCTATTCCACGCCCATGTAATCAATCGACTCCGCTTGCGGTAGTCATGAAGACTACCCCTGCGGCATCAAAGCCAGCAAAGGTGGTGGAGAGAAGATTAGAGGATTAAAAAACTATTGAAAAGAAAGGATCAGGGTTGTTAAACCGAAATGGCTTTCATACCATAAATTTTTTTTATTAATCCACCACACCTAAAATGTGTGAATGTTATCTTATTTATAATCAAATAAATTACAAGGATATGGAAATAACAAAATGGAAAGATAATAAGACAAATATTAGATATTTGACTTATAATAAAATATCAAATATAATATATATAGTAAACTATAATTTATTACTAAATATCTTTAATAGCACTGCCCATAAAATTTAGAACCATCGAATTAGGTTCGGATAGATTTTCTATTTTTTTTATTATTATTATTATTTCTTTTAATTGATGAATTCTCCGTTGATTTTGTTCAAAAATAGACCCGAGCCAACTCACTGCAACATAATACTTCAATATCGATGTTTGATTTTAACAATTCTACTTTATACTTTGATTTTTATTTCAATTATTTCAATATTGTTGACAAAACTCTGTGGATTCATATAATTAATTTAGAGACAAGACTTAACCTAACAATTTTACTGTTCATATATATATATATATATATATATATATATATATATAAAGAAAAAGAATCTACATGGAAATTACAACATTCATGTTCCAAAAACACAAAAACCAACCAATTTGGAGGTTACATCAATCCCATGAACAACAATATTAAAGAAATGCATGAATGTTATGAAAAACATTAAAGATATTTTTTAATATTTAATTTTGTACGACATATTCAACCTTTCACAAAGTTAAAAGACACACTTAGATTTTATGTCTGATACGATCGTTATTTTTCAACTTTACGTCTGTGACTTTGAACGTCGTCAAATATGATAGAGATCAATTAAATAAAAAAGTAAAAATTTACGAATTTAGTACCTGTAAGTCCGAGAAACTATCAGATATATACAAAAGAAAAAAAACGTATCTATGATAATAAATTAAGCTAAAATTACGAGAATATAATGGAAATATCATATGATATTCGTTTATTAATGCATGATATGGTCGATAGTGAATGAATAGTGTTTATTCAATGCAAAAATAGTTTTCGCATAAGTATTTATGATTTTGAGTAGTTAGAATATCTACTAAATTCAAATCCCTAACGATCTCGTCCATTTTTTATTAAAAAAATGTTTTTTTTTATTTTCGTTCTTTCTTTCGGTCGTCGTCATCATCGTCATCGTTCTAATTAAAAATGTTACCTCTGACCCCACCCGAAATTTTAATCATGTTTTTGTGCATTTTTTTCAAATTTGAAAACTTATGATGGAATCCATCATTTCAATGTTTGATGCTCCGTCCAAAAATTCATTATTACTATGCTTTTTAAGGGGAAGAAACGTTGGTATATTCATGTCTTAAAAGAGTTCATAAATTAATTTTAAAATATATATTTTAGCTTCTATAATTTAAAAGAATAACCATTATTGTATGATGACAATACGGGACCAAAGCAGACAAAAATCGCTAGTATGGCCTCAAGCTGTTACAAATGGTATCAGAGCTAAACATTGTTGGTGTGCCAGCGAGTACGCTGGCTCCAAAGGGGTTAATTGTGAGATCTCACATCGGTTGGAGAAGAGAACAAAGCATTCCTTATAAGAGTGTGAAAATCTCTCCTCAATAGACGTGCTTTAAAAACCGTGAGGTTGACGACAATATGTAACGTACTAAAGCGAACAATATTTGCTAGTATTGAGTTTGAGCTGTTACAGTTAGCTACTTAACCTACATAGTCAGCTAAAATACAAAACCACATTGTCACGTACTGGATTCGATTAAAACTAAATTTGTCACTCGGGATTTGTCATAGAATATCCTAGAAACCCGTTTGCTTTCTCCATCATTTTTGTGATCATCATATCTTTAAAAGGAAGCTTTATTGTTGGGCGATGGACACCCTTTTGAAAACTGACTTACTCCCTTCAAATCAAATACAATTTTGCTTTGGTATCAATTAAAATAAACATATTCGCTTTCATGGCTTTGCTTTTGGGCATCTCCAAAAGGCCTCGTACCAATAGAGTTAGTATTCCTCACTTATAAACCCATGATCATTCTCTAAATTAGCCGATGTGGGACTTTCATCATCCAACACCTCCCCTCGAACAAAGCACGCCTCCCCTTAATCGAGGCTCGACTCCTTTTGGAGTCCTTTGTTCGACATTTAAGGATTTGTCAATCTATTGGCACGGCTAAGTTTAGGACATGGCTCTGATACCATGTTAGACGAACACGACTCTCCACAATAGTATGATATTGTCCACTTTGAGCATAAGCTCTCATGGCTTTACTTTGGGCTTCCCTAAAAGGCCTCATACCAATGAAGTTAGTATTCCTCGCTTATAAACCCATGATCATTCTCTAAATTAGCCGATGTGGAACTTTCATCATTCAACACAAAGTACACATTCTTTTTCAGTAGCTCAGTCATAGAAACTTCAAAATTTAGCGTAATTTGCTTGAAGAAATTTTAGGTGGGGAGATCTCGTAAGGATTTTCAGGTTGAAAAGACCCATGATACCATGTCAGAATATTCTTCACTCTTAAAAAGCATTTTAAAACAATTAGGTGGCGTGACAAAAATAATATTTATAGACAATTTAGGCAAAGTCCAAGGACTATACAATAATTGTAGAGTGTCCTTCAAATGGGCACATACCCCATACTCCAAAGGCCCTCACCTCACGAAACTGAATGAAGGATTTTTTTTTTTTAATTTTATATTATAAATTGAAATATTCTAGATTTAATTTTTTTAATTAATAAAAATTTTCAATAATACAATTAAATATTAAAAAAAATTCAAAAATAATCTTACCGTTAGTATAACATTTCAAAAATATTAGTAATCTTTCAACCGTAACGTTAAAAAGGATGATAATCTAGGAGGTGTTTATACACCGTTTTTGTTTATATATTGACGATAATTTTTTTTATTTTTTATAACAATTAAATGTGTTAATATTAACTTTAAAATTTCATGAAAATTTTTAAATATTGTACTTAGATAAAAAGAAATTAAAAATAAAATATTAATTATTTTGATAATTAGTGAAAATTTTAAAAGTTTAAAGATATATTTTTAATATTTTTAATATTTTTTTTCCTCGCTCAAAAAAGTTGGAAGAGGAGTCAAGGGAGGGAGTCAGAAATGTCGGCGACATCATGGTGACGCAACAAGACGGTGACAGTAGAGAGAGAATAACGGATCGGGTCGGGTCAATGTTAAAACCGGAAAACGTAGGGAGGGCCACAGAAGTTCGAACACGTGGCGGAAAGTGTTTGGGGCGGTGACAAATTACACGCTTGCAATGTCACAGTCGCAGTCGGAACATCAATTACAAAATCCGTACTGTTTTCTATCAGTTGGCTTTGAATGTATTGGGACTTTTTTTTTGTAAATTGAATGTTTTCCAACTATTTTCAATAACAATTATCCTTTTTTTTCATTTCTTGTCAAATTTCTCACGTCTTTTTTTTTTTAATTAATTTAAAATTTTAGATGAGTTAGATTCCGGACCGAACCATCTAAATACTGTTGGATGATGAAAGTCTCGGGTTAATTTAGGGAATGATCATGGGTTTATAAGTGAGAAATACTAACTCCATTGGTGTGAGGCCTTTTGGGAAACTCAAACTAAACCCATGAGAGCTTATGCTCAAAGTGGGCAATATCATACCATTGTGGAGAGTCGTGTTCGTCTAACATGGTATCAGAGCCATGCCCTAAACTTAGCCGTGCCAATAGATTGACAAATCCTCGAATGTCGAACAAAAGACTCCAAAAAGAAAAAAGAAGTCAAGCCTCCTCGAAGGTACGAAGACAGTCAAAAAATGACTAAGACTCCAAAGGAGTCGAGCCTCGATTAAGCGGAGGCGTGCTTTGTTCGAGGGTAGGTGTTGGATGATGAAAGTCTCGGCTAATTTAGGGAATGATCATGAGTTTATAAGTGAGGAATACTAACTCCATTGATGTGAGGTCTTTTGGGAAGCCCAAACCAAAGCCATGAGAGTTTATTCTCAAAGTGGACAATATCATATCATTGTGGAGAGTCGTGTTCGTCTAACAAATAGAACTCATAAATCAAATTATATTGAATGGTCGGGTTATTTTTATTATTATTTAAATTATTTAAAGAAATTCTAGCGATACATTACTAACAAAAATATAAAAAAAATTCAATATCAAACATTTACAAGTCACAACGCATTGCTAACATCGTTATAAAATTCAAATATTCTTAATTTTCGTAATAATATTAATGATAGAATAGTGTTCATTTTGTTGTAACTCTATGTTCAGGTTGGTCAGGTTGACCAAATAAAAGAAGGTTCAACTCTCTAACTGACATGATTTTAAAAAAAAAATCAAAAAAGACTAACCTAACCAATCCTTCTATGGTTTGAGTTTAGCGGTCTAAAACGTTAAATTATTAAATATTTTTATGAGATTCTCTTCGTGCTGTATTTAACCAGACCTTTTAAAACATAGATTAAATTATAAATTATATTTTTTAACGTTCAAAATTAGATAAAATAAAATTTTGAATTTATGTGTCTAACAAATTTCTAAATTTTCGATTTCGTATCTAATAAAATTATTGAAGTTTTATTATTTTTTTTTTCTAATCGATTATTAATTTATTAAATATCTTTAAAAAAAATTTATAGTTTAATGTTTAAAAATAGAAATATTCTAGGATTAAATAATTCCAATTATTCTCTAATGAATTTTATATTTTTATTTGGGATTTGATAATTGATTAGGGAAGGTAGAATCTTGAATTAATTACAACTTAATATGCCAACATGATTTTCTAATCATTTATTTTATTCTCAATTTAATTTTTAATAATAATAATAATAATAGAAAGGTATAATTGACATAAATAAAATAAATTTTAAATTTAATTTTATAGGGAAAAAAATTAGTCAATTAATAAATAATAATAGATATATTTAAATAATTGAAAGACAGATAATAATAAATATTTAATTAGAAATATAACACCGACCTCAATACGAATACGTCGCTCGACAAGTTTTGGATTTACAGATCTTATGGCCCACAAAATATGAATTTTGTTTAAATAAATAAATAAAATTATTATTATTTGAGGGATTTAATTAAAAATTAAAAAAAAGAAAAAAGAAAAGACCTTTCCACGGAGAAGGGAGACAAAAAAATGTGGGCCAATCATTGAGCCGATTCGACGTATTAGAGAGTGTTGAGCTGGTTCGTATTTTCGAAGATAACCAAAGAAACTGTATTTATGTCGTCTGACGTGGATATGTCGGTTATTTATATTTTATATTTTTGTTTTGCGACTTTTCTAAAATTTCAAAATTAAAAAGTTTTAATATGAAAAGTTCAATTATATATTTTTTATGTCCTCCCTACCAAAAAAAAAAAGATTTTTTTTAATTAATCGTTACTAGAACAGAGTAAAAAAGAGATCTATGAATTTATTAAATGAACACGACTCTCCACAATGGTATGATATTGTTTACTTTGAGCATAAATTCATATCAAGGGAGATAGTATTATTTGATTATAAACTCATGATCATTCCCTAAATTAACCGATGTGTGACTTTCATCATCCAACATAATGAACCGATATCACAGTTTGAAAGGGTCTATATTAGTCAACGAGAATAGTTGTGAGATCTCATATCCGTTAGAGATTTAAAATCCTTGAGAGGAAGCTCAAAAAGTAAAATCCAAAGCAGACAATATATGCTAGCGATAAGTTTGACCAATTACAAATAGTAACAAAGCCAGACACGGAATGGTGTGTCTGAAAACACTGGTCCCTTAATCATGTTGGAGGAGGATGTCGGAGTAGGTGATGAGATCACTTCTTATAAAAAGAAAAAATGTAATAATAAAAGAATAATGGAAAATTAAAAAAAAGAAAAGAAAAGAAAAGGGATGGGGCCCATGGTTGTGAACACAAAGGTGTCGGCTGGACCTTATGGATTATTAAAACATTATAAAATATTTAAATAAATAATTTTTTAATAATAAAAATAAAAACATGCGCCTAAATATTGCGTAACAGTAGATTGCACGCAATTCTGTGTTTAAAGTTTAACCCCAAAATTATTATTTAATTCCTTTTTAAACCCTCGAGTTTTAAGTAAATAATTTATTATTTTAATTTATTTTTGTATTTGTTGCTTCTAACTTAAAAATCACTCACTAACTATAAATGAGTTCTTAATAATTATATTGTACTTAATTTCCTTTTTTAAGCTAATTATTTAAGTAATATAAGCATCAACCATGATTTCATTCTTTTTTTTTTAAATTATTATTTATTTACTTGATTTTGAATTAATGAAAAATAATAAAAATGTTACTAATTTAATTTAAATTCGTCATTTCCTTAATTATTTGCATTTTATTTTATTGAAAATAAATATTTAATTTTAGACCAATATTTCTAATTTCAATAAATAATATTTTGGTTAATAATGTTATTTTTCGGTAAATAATTGATATTTTAGCATAGAAAAAAACATGATTGAAGAATTGTTATGTGATATGAACTAGCCTTGTTCCACCTTCTTTTACTCTTATTTTAAAAGAAAATGAGAGACGTAAACTCAAATGATGTGTAAATTATCGTTGTTTTAATGTGAATGAAAGAAGAAAGGGGACTTGTGTTGAAGTCTAAGACCATGGTCGGTTTCAGCTTGCGGTGGTGGACAACCCTAAGGCTGCCACCTGTGAGACCTGCATCCATTACTTCCTTGGCTCGTGTGATTCTGAGCTAGTCCAAATTTGATTTTTTTCCCGTAATCCTAAAAGAAAGTTCTAATTGGACAGTATATAAACACTTTTTTTTGTTATTTAGAGATGTAAGATTCAAAATGCATCGGACAAGCATGACATCAGTGTGTTATCCTTTAACATCTTATAAAATGTATTTTCTTCTCGTAAAACAAATTTTACCGTTATTATCACGTAAAAATTAGATATATTATCTTACCCAAAACTTGAAAACAACTATTATTACGATGAGGACGAAACTTTTTCTATTATTATTTTAAAGAAAAAATGGTTAATGATAGATTGTAAGGTTAAGTAAAAGTTAAAAAGCTTTTTCTAATTTTTTGGAAATGGGTTAAAAAGGGAAGGATAACACCACAATTGCTGTTGAGATTTCAAACTCTAAACTCACTTTTATTATTATTTGTTGCATTCATAATTTTAAGAACGAAAATACATCTTGTTGGTATGAATAGTAATTTTCAACGGTTCATTTTTAGCTGTCATATTCTCACAATCACTCTTATTTAGATGTGATATCGTGTGAGATTCCGAGTGGAAAACCAAGCATTCTGTATAAGAGTGTGGAAACCTCTCCCTAATAGATGTATTTTAGAACCGTGAGAATGACAGTGATGAATAACAAGTCAAATTGGACAATATAGGAGTGCATTTGAACCGTTACAAATAGTATCAAAGCCAAGCACCAGACGGTGTGTCAGCGAGGACGCTGGTCTCGAAGGGGGTGAATTGTGAGATCCCGTATCGAAGAGAGGAGAACGAAAACATTCTTTATAAGTATATGAAAACGTCTCCCTAACAAACACGTTTTAAAACTTTTAGGGGATACCCTTAATTAAAGAAGACAATATCTACTGTCGGTTCATTCATGTGCTCCTTATTAACTCGGGTACGATAACCAAAATTATATTTTAACGACAAATTTAAGCTAATTAATTTAGGAAAATAGCACAAACTTACCCCTTTTCTCATTTTTCTCATTTTCTTTTTCCATACATAGAGATTTCTTAAAATCCAATCTTCTACTGTTCAAAGGCAGCACCAAAATTAGCGTAAAACCCACTTGATTGTTGATCATCTCTCTCTCTCTCTCTCTCACTATAACTTCAATCTCAAGTATGATTAATCCTTCAATTCATTAAAATCATCATCGTAGATATATATTTACCTGTCCTACGCCATTGGAATCGACCCATTCATTCACTCACACACCTTTCTCTCACTATAATGGGACGCCATTCTTGCTGTCTGAAGCAGAAACTGAGGAAAGGCCTCTGGTCGCCGGAGGAAGACGAAAAGCTCTTCAATTACATCACGAGATTCGGCGTTGGCTGCTGGAGTTCTGTCCCAAAACTTGCTGGTATTACACGATCATATGAACTTTAGCTCTGTTTTCTCATCTGGGTTTGCTTCAAATCGATGTTTTAATCTGTTTTTTCATCTGGGTTTGCTTCAAAATCGAAATTTACTCTGTTTTCTCATCTGGTTTTGCTTCAAAATCGAAGCTTTACTCTGTTTTTTTCGTTGGATTGTATAAGGTTTGCAGAGATGTGGGAAGAGCTGTCGGCTGCGGTGGATTAACTACTTGAGGCCTGATTTGAAGCGAGGAATGTTCTCCCAACAAGAAGAGGATCTCATTATTAGTCTCCACGAAGTGTTGGGAAACAGGTAAGAACAGAGAGTGTTCTGTTGTTTGTAATGTCGAGCTGGGTTCATGGTCGTGGATTTTGCAGATGGGCACAAATTGCGGCGCAGTTACCAGGAAGAACAGACAATGAAATCAAGAATTTTTGGAATTCAAGTTTGAAGAAGAAGCTAATGAAGCAAGGAATTGATCCAAACACTCACAAACCTTTGATCAAAGAGATTAAAGAGAAGAAAATCTTCGAAGACAAGGAATTCACCCAAATCCCACCGGTTCCAGGACTTTCCGGCGGCCTCTCCGCCATACCCACTCAAAATCCAGCATTTCTCATCGGCGGTGCTGAGTACTACGACGGCGGAATGACGGCGCCGCCACACCGTGACCATTTCTTAAACAAACAAGCCCTTGATTCCCTCTGTTTTTTCGAGTTCCAAACAGGGCTGGACTCGAATTTCGGGTTCAGTTCAGTGCCGAGTTTGACAAATTCCGACCATGGGAGCTTGTCGGGGACAGAATTCTCCGACAATTCTGGAGGATTCTACATGAACAACAACAACAATAACAACAGAGTGGATAATTCGACATTTTGTTCGTGGGAAAACGAGAATAAATCGGAGAGTTTTTTCCAGATTCATGTGGATAGTCATAGTAATGTGGTAAAGTCCGAGGAATTGAAGACAGTAACAGGAAGTTCAGTGGTTGATGGGCAGCTGATTCAGAGTCGAAGCTCAGTAGATTTCAGTAGCTATCCGTTAACGTCGCTGACACAAGCCATTGTTGGAGGCAACTTTGATGTCTTCCACCATTTGTGAACTAATTGTACATTCAATCCTTCTCTCTCTTAAAAAAATACACACAGATGTGGATAGTAATAGGGATTTCCCAAGAGAAAAAAAAAAAAAAAAAGTTTGATTTTTTTCCCCTTTTTGTTCTTGTAATTCTCTTCTATTTTCCACTTCTTTTGTAATATTTTGATTTTATGATGAGTTGAAATGATGTGAAAGAGTGAATCTTTGATTTCTATTCTCTTGTTTCAAATTCTTTCCATTTGGATAAAACCCATGTCTCCGGGTGCAAATATGGGTTGTGTTCTGATTCATATGTGAAGTGAATGAAACATTCGTTATAAAGTGGTATAGAAACCTCTCCTTAGTGGACGTGTTCTAAAATCGTGAGGCTAATAACGATACATAACGAACTAAAGTGAACAATATCATTGCAGTATAAAGAAGACCCAGTTGTTATTTAGTACCATTCTTCTAAAAAACACAAAAATAAAGAGTCGTGCATAGCATAGCATGTTTGTAGGAGAATTCTCCACCGATGAAGACTCGTAAGATGCATAAACAAGTAGAGCGTTAGGTAGGACTGCGAAAGGTTACTGATCAAATTGGTTAAATCATTTACTATCGATTAAAAAGTCAGATATTCAAATCCTTCGTCGATTAGAGGTTAGGAGAGAAAAAAATGAGTAATTGAAAACGAAATATAAAAATTAGATTATTTATTTATTTTTTCACTTTTATTTTTTTAAAAAAAAGAATTATTTGGTTTTGTCCTAAGACCATGGGTGCGTGTGTTGAGAGACAAAGGGGGGCCTAATGGGCTGGTGAGGGTTGGAAGAGAAATGGCAACCACATTTGTGTTCATTTTTTTAAAATTATTTTTATTTTATTTATATAAATTTAAATTAATTATTATATAATTCTAATTTTATGTGATTGTTATGAGGTTTTGTGTATTGCATTATTAATATCAAGATTAGATTCCTCTTCACTTTCATTTTGAGAGATCATATTCATTGTATTAGACTAAATAATTAATCACCTATCCTTAAATTATTTAATTATATATTATTATTATTATTATTATTTTCTTTTTTAGACCATGACATTTATTTTTCATAAATTATAAAATCGTACTTATATTTTAAAAAACTCGAACAATCTGGACTATGCAACACATACTATGAAGGTATGAAGGTTGAGTTGGTTGAAATTTTGAAAAATTGAAAATATGGGTCGATTCGTGAGTTGACATTTTTTTGGGTTTGGTCAACTCGACCAATCTGAAAATAGGGTTACAATCTAGCCGGTATCCATTTAAAATTATTATGAAGATTAAGAATATTTGACGGTCGTAAGTAAGCAAAGTTAGTGATACATTGTGAATATTTGATATTTGAGTTTTATGATATAACATGTATTGTGGCCAAATAAAATTTTTTAAAAATAATTTTAAAAATAACCCGACAACCCAATCGAACTCGAAAATAGAGGATTAGATTGTAAATTCTATTTAGATTGGTCAGATCACCAACCTTACTCAAGTACACCTATGGGATTTCGTATCAGTTGGAGAGGAGAACAAAACATTTCTTATAAGGGTATGAAATTTTTTTAATAGACACGTTTTAAAACTGTGAGGCTGACGATGATGCGTAACAAGTCAAAGTGGACAACATCTGCTACTAGTGAGCTTGAGCTGTTACAACACTCCTACTAGAATGTTTACTATGATTGAATTCCTCGTAAATTGAAATATCTAACAATGTTTATATTTGAATTAAAACGATCGAGACCCACGTCCAAACAGGTAATTACTATTTAAAAATAAATCAAAAAAATATTTATAGTGTAATGCTTTTTAAAAGCTTAGCTTAAAAGGACATTCACTTTTCATTTTACAAAAATAAATTATAAAAAAAAAATATATCTATTTTTAAGGATAATTATAAGTTATATAGGTAATGGAAAAAGAAATAAAATAGGTATAAAAATAGCAGCTATATCTAAATAAAGTACATTAATTATTAATAATAGCTACCCACTTATTTATTGAACTCAAAATCCAACTCATTAATTTGTTTTTATCATTCAATTTATAATAATTATTTCATTTAAAATTTTATTTTTTTAATAACCAATTAGGGTTTTTGCTTAAAATTTGAAAACAGTACATAATTTGACTTCTCATCCTCTTTTTTACACCAAAAAAGAATAATTTCATGAATAGAAGAAACTTACTACAAATTTAGAGGTAAAAAGTCAATTTGGGTTATTTAATTTAGCAATCTTCGTGAATTGGGTTAAGTCAGATCGGGACACTTTTTAAACCTAACTCAATTGTTCGTGTTGAAGTTTTTTTTTTTTTTTCGACACAAACAACTTTTATTAAATAATGAATCAGACCCAACCCAACCTATTCAAACCATAAATTGTTGAGGATTGTTGGGAGTGAGTCCCATGTATGTTGGCTAATTTAGGCAATGATCCTGAGTTTATAAGTAAAGAAATACATCTCCATTGGTATGAGACTTTTTGGGGAAGTCCAGAGCAAAGTCATGAGAGCTTGTGTTCAAAGTGGATAATATCATACTATTGTGTAGATTTGTAATTCTAATATGGTATCAGAGTCATGTCATTGGGACCCTCGAAAGTTTAGTTAAAAGTGGCTCAAGTATCGAACCAAGGGTGTACTTTGTTTGAAGGTTTTAGAGAAAGGACTCGAACCTCAATTAAGGAGAGGTTGTTCGAGGGCTCCATAGGCCTCATAAGGAGTACATCTTCACGATCTTTTGGTTTCGAAACAAAAAATAGAGTCATGAGAGCTTCTACTCGAAGTAGACAATATCATATTATTATGAAGAGTCGTGATTCCCAACATAACTTTTTTAGATTAGGTTAATCTGAGTAGTTTATCCAAAATTTTATTTTTAATAAATGTCTATTTATTTATTTTCAAAAATATAATTAAGATAAAAAAAATTTCAAATAATTAATTTTAAAATGACAATATTAATATCTTATTTCCAACCGCTATATTTTTTTTTTCTCAAACAAAATTAAATTTGATTAATGATATTAGAGGAGGCTTTAATTACACTCATTGTGATTAAAAAGAAAGAATTCATAACAGAAAATGATTTTGTTGAAAATAATAATAAATAAATAAATAAATAAATAAATAAATAAATGGTCCCAACTCTTAAAACGGCCTCTTAACAACTTAAACCCAAGTTGCTTTCCCTAAGCTGTTAGCGTAAGAAACAAAAATAATTTATAATTTTTTTGTTTTTGATAATAATAATAATAATAATAATAATAATAATAATAAAACAGCTAAAAAGCGTGTAATTCGGGTCTGCTTGGGAATGGATCCGACATAATTAACAGCTAATTCACAAGTCAATCAGCTAATCAAATCCCCACTTAACCCTAATCAATCACTAATCTTATTTCTTTTCTTCCTTTTTTTTTTTTTCTTTTTTTAAGCTATATTTAATAAATCTCTAAATTAAAATTTTAATTTTATATTCAATCATTTTTCAATCTATCTCTAATAAATCTTTAATATATTACTAAAAATTTAAGAATAATAAAATTGTAATTTAAATTTTTAAATATCTGCGTAGAAACCACTATTAAATTTGCGACAATCGATAGAAAAAATAAAAAATATTTTACTTTCTCTTTTATAGTGGTCTGAAAATTAATGGTATTGTATGTCACGGTCATACTTGTTCAAGACGTGTTGTCTGTCAATCATGCTTGTTTGCTTGCCCGTTGTAAACCTTTTTTTTACTTGCTTTGATGTTGAATAAGTCTCTAATATTCTTGTTTGCGTGGATACGAGGGTGTATGACTAATCACTAAAATCATGTCTACTTTAAATCTATTAGAGTTATAGATTTCTCATGGGCCTAGAACTAGGTTCTTGCCGGGTATATAGGTCTAGTAAATAATTTCACCCACAACACTCGTAAGAATACACTAAATAAATTTTTAAAGCGTATGAACAAAAATGGCTTTCTTGATATGAAAGTCATATTAATTCTATATCATGCTTGCTATCATCGAGTCAGACTAGTTAGGATTTCTCGATACCGTCACTAATACATGTCGTTCGTCGGGAAAAGACATTTAGAAGAATATGAGCTATGGAGAAGTAGAGTAAAGGTTCAGTTTATGTGGAGAAGTCAATACACTTTGAAACTTGCAAAGAATTAGGTGTAATCAGAAATTGCTTCAGATTCTTCATTAGCTTTGGCTTGGATTCCCCTTTGCTTAAAGTTGACACGTGATGATGCTGGACACCCTGCAAAATCTACAAACAGGGCTCGATGAATTATCGAGCAGAATTCACAACAATAAAGCCTTTACCCCGAACGTCATTGGTTCGTCGTAGTAAACGATTCAAGCAAGAGGAATCAAGACAGTCATCAAAAGTATATAAACAAATCGTCAGAGAACGGTTGATTCAAGACAAACTTTGAACATGTCAACTTGAATATAACTCAATGGATTAAGACATATACTCTCAACCAAGATGCTCGAGTTCGAATGAACTAAAGAATATAATCATAATTCACATCAATAAAGCATTTACCCCGAACGTCATTCGTTCGTCGTAGTAAACGATTCAGAATCAAGACAGTCATCAAAAGTATATAAACAAATCGTCAGAGAACGGTTGATTCAAGACAAACTTTGAACATGTCAACTTGAATATAACTCAATGGATTAAGACATATACTCTCAACCAAGATGCTCGAGTTCGAATGAACTAAAGAATATAATCATAATTCACATCAATAAAGCATTTACCCCGAACGTCATTCGTTCGTCGTAGTAAACGATTCAGAATCAAGACAGTCATCAAAAGTATATAAGCAAATCGTCAGAGAACGGTTGATTCAAGACAAACTTTGAACATGTCAACTTGAATATAACTCAATGGATTAAGACATATACTCTCAACCAAGATGCTCGAGTTCGAATGAACTAAAGAATATAATCATAATTCACATCAATAAAGCATTTACCCCGAACGTCATTCGTTCGTCGTAGTAAACGATTCAGAATCAAGACAGTCATCAAAAGTATATAAGCAAATCATCCGAGAACGGTTGATTCAAGACAAACTTTGAACATGTCAACTTGAACATAACTCAATAGATTAAGACATATACTCTCAACCAAGATGCTCGAATTCGAATGAACTAAAGAATATAATCGTAGCTAACAAATTTCTCAGGGGATACAGTATTTTTGTTTGTTCACTTCCTTTTACGAGCCTCAACGCCCGAGTACATCCCATTCGTGTCGTGGACGTTGAAGGAACTAATCTCTCTGGGTTTAGTGATGTGGGACAGAGCCAACCAATGTAACATCTAGTGTGATGTGTTCATTTCCTTCGGAATTTCCTAGAAAGAATGCCTACTAAATTAGTGACGTGATGAAACAACACAATTCAATCAAGGGCAGACAGCTACACATATGGAACCTGGAACTACAGTGTAATAACAGTAACCGAGAGAGATGAAACAAAGGCGTGATAATTGAAAGAAACAGCGGTGGAGCCTGCTAAGTCGCCTATAGTTCTCAAGTTCTAGTCTATCTCACACTATGCATTCCATAATACTATCGAGTCGACAGACACGACACGTCAAAGGTTGACAAAAAGTAAGATTGGTTTGATTTTTCCTCCAAAACCTGATAAGCTGTAATTGTGAGTGTGAGATCTCGCATCAGTCGGGGAGGAGAACGAAACACTCTTTATAAGGGTGTGAAAACCTCTTTCTAGCAGACACGTTTTAAAAACCTTGAGGGAAACCCCGAAAGGGAAAACACAAAGAGAACAACATCTGCTAACGGTGGACTTGAGTCGTTACAAATGATATTAGAGTCAGACACCGAGCGGTGTGCTAGTGAGGAGGCTGAGCCCCGAAGGGGTGGACACGAGGCAGTGTGCCAACAAGAACGCTGGCCCCCAAAAGGGGGGTAAATTAGGGGTCCCACATCGATTGAAGAAGGGAATGAGTGCCAGCGAGGACGGTAGGCCCCGAAGGGAGGGTGGATTATGAGATCCCACATCGGTTGGGGAGAAGAACAAAACACCCTTTTAAACCTTGAGGGAAACTCCGAAAAAGAAAGCTTAAAGAGAATAATATCTATTAGCGGTGAGCTTGGGTCGTTACAGAGAGACGAAACAAAGGTGTGATAATCGAAAGAAACAGTGGTGGAGCCAACAAAGTCACCTATAGTTCTCAAGTTCTAGTTTATCTCACACTATGCATTCCATAACACCATTGAGTTGACAGACAGGACACGACACAACACGTCAAAGGTTCACAAAAAGTAAGATTGGTTTGGTTCTCCCTCCAAAACCTGAAAAGCTGTAAACATCATCCAGGCCGGTTGATGAAAACTAACATCAATCCGATACGATGTGTTCGACACTGAGAAACAAACGTTTCGGACTTCTTTATCACGAGATTGTTTCTCTAAAATTTGTCTAGGAATATGCTAAACTTGAGATGATTGACAATGCAAGGGACTACCAGCTATCAATAAATAATTCACTCATATTGCCTACCATGTTCGTCAAGAAACTTGAGCTACATCGAATACAACAAATCTACACAATTATTTCGAAAATCGGAAAGCAAGAGCCAAAAAGTTAAGAGTCCTACCAGGACGTTCGTGTATGAAGGGCACCAGAGCCAGAGCCAGAGCCAGAGCCAGAGCCAGAGCCAGAGCCAGAGTTCTTCAATGTCTTGTCTCGGTCTCTACCCTGGGCCATTGACGGTGCGACTCGTGCAGTCGCTATTCTGTGTGGACTATAGCGACTTAATCTCAGATTGTGAAGAACTTTGAACAACCTCCAATTTGATTTAATGTACAACAACATTGCTTATTAAGCTCACGGTGAAAAGTGGTGCCTGTGGATATGATGAGCTCCAGCCTGATAAAGAGTAAGGTGGTGTATGGCTTTAGAATACAACTCGTGCAAGTCGGTGTGAGCGAAAACGAGACGAGCCATCCTCTTCATCTCATTCAAGGCATGAGCCTCCTCTAAAGCCTTGCTATTGCCTGCACTCAGTGCAAGATAACATAGCAGCTTTAAGCCAGGTACTTGAGCAGCCTCGTTTTGTCTTAAAAGTTTCATTAGAGGAGGAACGCCATCAAACTCGATAATCGACTTCGAATGTGCTACGCAGTTATAATTTTCGAGGCAAGCAAACTTCCCTAACGCAACGACCGCCTCCAAGGCTACGTCCATGTTTATACTCTTCATCTGCATAACCAAAAGATCGATAATCCGTGATTCCTTAGCAGGAAAAATCCTTGCAAGAGAACCGATCGATTTGATTGCGGGAACTTGCAACCTTGGATCACGTTCCTCTTGAATCAATCTCGAAAGTTGATACAGAATCGCTTTCGGAGCGAGTGAAGTGATCTTAAATGCAACATGTCTAAAGTCTGGCTTCGACTCTGCAACAGCCGTTACCTCCATCACTGTCCTCAAGCAATTGTATTGCAAATCCCCTTCTTCACTCTCGATAATCTTCGCCATACACAACAACCCTTTCGTCTCCGTGATCTTTCGACTATTCGAAACGCTCCCTTCCGAGAGTCTCCATAGAGCTTCAGCACAATTCACCTTAAGCTGAAGCTTAACTTCAGAGCTCTCAACTTCTTTCTCCTTTCTCTGATGGCCTCCTCTGCTACTACCATCAGAATACGACGAACACAAACCCGACGACGAATTCAAATTCAGTGAACTACTCGAAGCTTTCCCATCAAGCTCCTTCTTCATCTCAACCACAGAATGAAAACTACTCTTCCCTAAATGAACTTTAGGATCATCCAAAACCATATCAATAGACAAACAAGTAACCAAAGGTTTAGTAACATTCTCTCTAGCAAACTCCTCTCGAGCAAGAGAGCTAAGTTCAGCCATTTGCGAAACCAAATTTGCCACAACAATTTGAACCCTCATGGAGGAATAATTAAGAGCTTGAACAATAATCGGAACCCCAAGAACATCCAAAATGGATTTAACCCTTTCAGGAACAGAAGCAACATTAATAAGAACATTAGCAGCAGAAATTTGAGCATCAGGGGAAGCATAATCCTTAAGTAATTTAAGCAATGGCGGAACGCCGCCTTCCTCCACCACGATTTTCTGATTCCGATCGTTCCCACGAGTGAGTAACGTTAACTGATTCGCAGCTTCGAGATTCTTAATTGAACCCATTTGGATTGTGGCAATACAAGGCCAAATATAGGCTAAAGTTGGGTCGTTACTCGCAATCGGAGGCAACCCAACAGAGCCATCGGGATCAAAAATGGAAATAAGCCATTTCATATCGCCGATTGAAGACTCGAGAAGACCTGAAACCTTACGGAAATCGGCAATGGTGGTCATGGAGAAAACTTGCCTGAGAAACCCACTATGGCGGCATTTGCTGACGAAGTTCAAAGCACGTTCGAGATTCTTCGTTACATCGGCCACGATCCGGCGAATTGGGCGCTCGTAGAGCGGCTGCGTGGTGGTGGAGATCAGGCGAACGGTGGCTTGAAGCTTCCGGTAAATTTCGTCGACTTGTTGGGCTATATCAACACATTCTTGCCTCGAAGAAACCGCTTCTTGGGCCAATTTCAAAATCTTATCAGCTAACAAAATCGGAGGTGTAAATTCATTAAGAATTGCTCCTTCTTCTTCAGCGGCAGGAGGCGGAGGAACGGCGGCAGCCATCGCTACAACAAGAACAAGAACAACAAAGAAGCAAAGTTACAAGTTCCAAGAATCTGGGGTTGCCCTGAATTTCAGAGCTGAAGTAGCTCGAAGCTTTCTTGGGAGAATTGGAGGAAATGATGAAATGGGTCAATGAAAATTTCTCAAATATCTAAATTTAGTGGAAAGTCGTGTGAAGAAATTGCAAGGAGTTGACCAGTCAACTATGTATGGTGGAACTCAAATTAATCTCGGATTCTTTTCAAATGAACATTATCGTCATCTAAATTGAACTAAAAATGGTTGATTTATTGAGGGGAAAGAGAAAGAGCTTAAATTTGGTAAAATATATTGGAAATAAATTATTTATTTATTTATTTTAATTGTGGCCTCGTGATTGTGTTTGTTTGTGGAGCTGAGGGTAATGATAGAAACACAGACATTCTTCGTGAAGAGTCACCGCAGAGGCAGAGACAGAGAGGCATTTGTCTGTATGCCTACTCCGTCACCCACTAAGAATTAACTCGCCCAATAACCTATTGAAAAAGTAAAATAAAAAATGAAGGTTACATTCTAAAATTTCAATCCAAATTCGATGCATTATACATTATTTAATTTAAAGAAAGTTTATTTTCTGTTTAAATGAAAATGGTAAATATATTTAATTATATTGGATCATTTATGCTCAACATTATTAAAATCTACCGGAACCTTCAATTCCGTCCCGGTTGAATTTTTTTTAAAATTCAACGTTATCCGGTTACCATTTATTATTAAGTCAATCCAATCAACCAACCGGAAAACAGGGCTACAATCTAACCGGAAAACAGGGCTACAATCCAACACGAAAACAGGGCTACAATCCAACACGAAAACAGGGCTACAATCCAACACGAAAACAGGTCTACAATCCAACACGAAAACAGGGCTACAATCCAACATGCGAGTTCACAAAATAGGGCTACAATTCATCCCCACAAGTTTAAATTTTTTATTAGGTCAACCAAACTAACCCAAAATACAACAATAACAATAATCAAATTTTGTGTTGAAGAAATGATATCTCAAAACCTAAACACTACACATCACAAATGAAACCTATTTTGATATTCAAAGCACTGATATCTAGTCATTAACTATTTTATTCAGATCATCCCAATCTCAAGCTTACAATTTCGATCAACATATTAGCAGCTCCATCGATTTTAACTTCTATTAGCAGCTACATCGAGAAAAAATTATGAAAGCTGGAAAGATATTGAACACTGAACATCAATATATCAAACAGAATCACTAATCTCCATTGTCCACTTTGAGATATTGAACACTGATCTCCATCAATATATCAAGATATTGAACACTGAACTCATACCAACGTGAACTCACTCCATTGATCCCAGTCTAATTGTGTAAATAACACCGACAAAAGAAACATTCCAGCTGATGCTAAAAAGATGAACTACTATCAACAGCAGATCTATTTGGAGGAAAAATTGCACTGCTTCAATGGAGACAACCTATTTCTTTGCTAGTAAGTCGGATAAGATCTACCTAGAACACAAGGGCATCTTCAATAATGATAGCAAAATCCCAAAAAGCTACCGAAATTAACAATGTATAAGATTTCAAGTAACATGACAATTCAAGAAACATATTCAAAATTGACTGAGTTCACAGTAAAGAAAGGAAACTGAAACACGAAGTTTGATAACATTAATCCTATGTCGAATACGCCACAAGAAATATCAAACTAATTTTGAAACATAATCATAACTAACAATTACCCAATAAACCTAAGCCGTAAGGACAACCGCACCACCATTCTCTTTGATCTTCTTCTCGGCAATTTTGGAGATGAGCTTGGCTTTCACAACGACGGGCTGATTCTCAGGCAAACCGCCTTTGCCCAAAACTTTGAAATACCCAAACTGAGTAACATCAATCAAAGGGACGTTATCCTTAGAAGCCTTGTCCTTGACTTCTTGAGGTACGAGGGACCAGAGCTTGTCGACGTTTACAATGGGGCAATAGAATTTGTTTCGGAGCTTGTGGAAGTACCTCATTCCAACTTTGCCGAAATAACCAGGATGGTATTTGTCGAAGAGGATTCTGTGGTGGTGCATACCTCCGGCGTTACCACGACCGCCAGGATGCTTACGGTGCTTGCCGATACGACCATGACCGGCACTCACGTGACCGCGCTTCTTCCTGTTCTTCTTGAAGCGGGTCGTCATTTCGTCTGCGACGGTGGAGAATTAGGTTTACGAAGTTGCTGGCAGCTGCGAGCGCGAGGACATGAGAATTAGGGTTTTGATGAAGTTTATAGGACTATGAACGGAGACTGAACCCTCTGAGGTTTTGGGCCTTTTCGTTTGTCTTCACTGAAGCCCATTAGGTTAAGACAACTCGGCCCAAGCCCATATGTTCGATTAAGTCTTTTTTTTTCTTTCTTTCTCTCATTCCATTTCTATTACTAATACTATTATTCATATTATCTAATATTTGTATTCTACAAAAAAAATCATAATAAAAATAAAAATTGTACTATCATCAATATTTTATTTTGAGTTGACCTTAACAATTTGAGCATAACGGTTGACAGTTAACGGTTGACTTTGAGCACAACACAAAATAATAATAATAATAACATTTTACGGGAAGTAGCTAAGTTGAACATAATTCGGTCAATAAAGGCATTAGTAAGAAGATTCAAATTTCAATATAATGTGTACTCAACAGCAAATGGATAAGTTTTATTCACCGGAAGCTCGATGCACTTGAACCCTGAACCATCTTGACTCTTTGGATTAAAAAAATGGCCTTTGAGACCCGCTCTACAGGCCAACAATCCAACCAGCTAAGAGCAACACAACTCCAGAACGAAGACTCAGATTATATAGCTCAATTGAGCCGAAGTGAACTACAAGAGTGTAAAAAACCAGTGTTCTAAACCAAAAGATCAGATATTCGTATCTTCTCCCACCTCACTTATGGTTGAACTCAAAAACAAAAACAGAAGAGAAATAAAAAGAAAAGGTTATATTCATTCATCAAAGTATCATCAGCTCAAGAGGCACATAAATTTGAAGCTATAATGAATGTATGTTTAACGATCATAGAGGCTCTGGCTTTCCTAAGTGACAGATTCACAATGAACAAAAAGAAAAATTGGTTCAGTAATACACAAGCAAATTGAGGATTCCAAGGACAAGAAAGGACACAAATATGCAGAGTAGTTGTAAGTTTTAACCAGTTTCCTGCTCAAATTCTTCAGCCTCAGATTCCTCAGCATTGTCGGCATCGTCATCTTCTGCCTCTATGTCTTCCTTATCGTTATCAGCAGTCATTTTGCCAATCACCACCAGGTTGCTGTTTGTCTTCCTGATTTCATTGCACTGCCATGATAGTAATATACAAAAGTGAGATCTGAACCTTACAACATTGCAACAGGACACAAGGAGAATTTCATGGTTTGTTAGTTCCTCCCAACTCGAAGTTGGAATCCAATTGAATTCATGAAAGAGTAGGAATCAAAGTCTAACGTCGATCTAGACACATCTAAATTCAACTGGTTAAGGCATATGTACGACCAATGGGACAAAAATTTGAATCTTGGGTTGAACTAAAAGAAATGGAAGTCTCTTCTCTTCTCTTCTTCGTTCGAGACTTTTGGTGGGTAGTTGAATGAAAGAAGAATCATCACGAACTTCAAGTTGGAATCCAAATGAATTCATGACAGAGTGAGAATCGAATCTCTTGTCGATCTAGGCATAACTAAATTCAACTAGTTAAGGCACATGTCATTAATCAATAGGACAAAGATTCGAATCCCAGGTTGAACTAAAAGAAATGGAAGCCTCTTCTCTTCTTTGTTCGAGACCTTTGGAGGAGGGTAGCTGAACGAAAGAAGAATCACCACAAACTCGAAGTTGGAATCCAATTGAATTCATGAAAGAGTGAGAATTGAAGCCTCTTGTCAATCTATGTACAACTAAACTCAACTAGTTAAGACACATATCATCGACCCATAAGATAGAGATTTGAATCCAGAGTTCCATAGAGAAAGGAAGAGAGAAAGTAGTTACAAAAATACAGAATAACGCACAAGAAATCACAACCGCCACAAGAACAAGTAGAGCTAAGACTTTGTGGCTCGAAGTTTTTATAAACTTGGATTTTATGAAGTTTGGAGTCAGGCAAGTGAATTTGTGAAGTATGTTGAATTGAATAAAGGAATGGATAATAGAAACTCAAGTTTTTCAACTGTGTTTGGTAAATGGATTTGTAATCTAGATATAATATAAGAAGTAGCCCTTGCTGACAAAGCCATGGCCCCAGGACAAAAAACCACTTTGTAACCTTAGGTTCACAAGCATCACCCATGGAAAATACTGACACATTGGAGTCACAGGGCTAAGGATAAATATCACATTCAAGCTAATTCTAGGCGGTAACAGGTCGTGCTCTGAAACAAACGCTTCAAGTAGGGTATCAACAAGTTTTCTCTAGGGTTCCTGTCACAAATGAACTTAGTGCTGACGAAGGACTTCAAAGAAAGCAAGCATTCAAGGTAAAGGACCAAGAGAAAACTGTTTCAGATGCAATTGGGAAAGGTGAAAACCTTACAGCTACACAGATCTAATTCAACAACAGTCTCTTCCCACTGGTTATTAAAAAGATAATACGATGTCCCATGATGATCAAATTTTATCGTGATTTTTGATGTATTGATTTCAATTCGTTTGAGCAAGTACAGATTTCAATCAATTACACTACCTAGAACTTGAAATTCCATGATATATGATCTTTGCACGTGTATCCAGTAGTTTAATTCTAGGAATGAAGCAAAAATTAATTCGTGAAAACAAAAGATGAGGATTCCATTTAGGCAGAAGAAAACAAAGAACAAATCAGAAATACTCGGAACATTTTCCAAAACAATCACAACCAAGAGCGGGCACGCATCGAAGAATTCATAATATGCCGTAATTAAACTAAAATCAACATTCCGATGATTTCAATCAAGTCCAAGCAGGAGGTTATGCAAATAAAATATCGGAGAGAAGAAAAGAGTATTAGGGTTTTTTCAAAAGAAAATGGCAAAAACCTTCTCTTCAAAATCAGACTCTTCCATGGCGAGCAGCAGCTCTTCGTTTTGGGGTTGGGGCCACTGAGACGGCAGTAAAAACGACGTCGGAATAGTCCTCGTGGACCAAGGATACTGGGTCATGAACGCCGGAAACTGCAGCATTTTTTTCTCGCCGGAGCTCGAAACTTGAGGGAGAGGAATGAGCTCAGTTGCGTAATACGAAGATCTTCCGCGCCGTGTTTATGCTAAATATTTATTTGAAGATAATTTTTAACATTTATTATAAAATACATGCCGTGCAATGCTTATTCACGTCTCAAGAGTATGATGTCTAAAGTTGGAATAGACATGTCGTGGGAGAAATACAAGAAACACCCACAAAGTCTAATTTCTTCCTTGGATGTCCGGTCCGTTTGAAAGTCAGTCCCCGCAAGAGCATAAAACAACATGAACAGGGTCAATAGTAGATCCAAGATCAATACCCTTCATAAACGTTGAAGTTATCTTTCTCTAACTTATTTCATAGGGTTACGAGAAGAGGGAGTAAGTAGCTCGATAAGTTGATGCAACAAAGATTTCATCAAGGTGAGCATAAGGAAGTGAACTCCCTATCGCTCGAAAGTGATCAACATCATACACACTGTAATATACATGCAATCGACCCATCTCTAGAAATTTGCAATATGAGGTCGCTTTGGACCGAACCGTACACGATGCCCAAATTGTAAAATTGTAATGAAATAATATCTATTATTCTAACAGCTTACCATCCCATTTGAAAAGGATATCAATTTAAAATCTTTATTATCGGTCCTAAACTACCCAAGAAATTCTTTAATCTTTATCATAATTCTGTGTCAGACACGTGAGAGACATTCCACGTAAACTGTAGAATTGGATATCTCAAATAGGAAGAAAAAGAAAAGCAACAGCAAAAAAGAATTTGATTCCATGCGTGTTTTGCTTTGTGGAAATGCAACAAGAACCACAATCGGCGAGGCAAATTAAGAAGGTTGCACAATATCTTGCAGCCGACAACCAATCCAATCCAATCCCACCGACTAATTCCACCCTTTAAGGGTTTTCTTCTTCCTTCCTCCTCGTGTCTTCTTCCCACATATTCCACGTCTCTTCCCATGGCGGCTCTTCAATTCCCCCCTCCTTACCCACTGGGCTATCAATCCTCTGTTCATTGCCTTAAAATCCCACCTACCCATCTACCCATTTGCGCGATTTTCCAAACTTTTCCTGGAATTTGAGTGTTTAATCGAGGCATGAGGCTGTATGTGTATGTATTGGAGGCTAAGAATCTCCTTGTGAAGGACTCGTTTGTGAAGCTACGGGTTGGGAGGCGTAAGGCTAAGACGAGGATTATGAGGAACAGTTGTAATCCTGTTTGGAATGAGGAGTTCATTTTTAAGTTTCGTGATGTGGATGAGGAACTGGTTGTTTCTGTTTATGAGCACAGTGATGAGTCCAGATTCTTCCATGGTTCATCGGGGTTGATTGGTCGGGTTCGGATTCCGATATGGATGGTTGCTGATGAGGATTCACAGACCCTGCCGCCCACTTGGTTTGATGTGCGAAGGTCTGGAACTGAGAAGTTCATCAATGAAGTTGCTGGTGGGGGTTTCTGTTTCTCTTATCTGTTTGTTTGATGCTGTAGTTTCTTAGTTTGAATCACTTGGAAGTAAAATAGTACTTAATTGCTATGCCTATTAGTTTATCGTATATGTGAATGTACTATAGTGCTGTTTTATATTACAACAATGAAGGTGCATGCCCTTGTAAGTAATGATTCGTTCTACTCCATTAAACTGACATGGGATCTCCCAATGCATCTTTGGGCTCAGCGTCCTGCACTCGTTTCCTTCTCTAATCGACGTGGGACCCTCCAATCCACCTCTCGGGACCCAGCATCCATGGTGGCACACCGCTTTGTGTCCACTCCTTCGGGGCTCAGGCTCCTCGTTGACACATTGTCCGGTGTCTGGCTCTGATACCATTTGTAATGGCTCAAGCCCACCGCTAGCAGATATTGTCCACTTTGAGCTTTTTCCTTCCAACTTACTCACAAGGTTTTTAAAATGCCTCTACTGGGAGAGATTTTCGAACCCTTATGAAGAATGCTTTATTCTCCTCCCCAACTGATGTGGGATCTCCCAATCCACCTCGGGCCTCCCCAACTGATGTGGGATCTCTCAATCCACCTCGGGACCCAGCGTCTTCATTTACACTCATTCCCTTCTCCAATCGATGTAGGACCCCCCAATCCACCCCGTCGGAGCTTAGCATCCTTGCTAGCACACCACCTCGTGTCCACCTACTTTGTGGCTCAGCCTCCTCGCTAACACATCGCCCGGTGTCTAACTCTAATAACATTTGTAACGGCCCAACCCCACCGTTAGCAAATATTGTCCTCTTTGAGCTTTTCCTTTCAGGCTTCCCCTCAAGGTTTTTAAGACGTGTCTGTTAGGGAGAGGTTTTCACACCCTTATAAATAAAGAACGTTTCATTCTCCTCTCCAACCGATGTGGGATTTTACAGAAAGTGCGAGAATTTGAACTTCGCAAGGGAAGGAATTGATGCTTATTATAACCATTGATTTATGCTGATTTATGCTGAGGTTGACACATAAATGCATGATAGTTGATCGTATGGAACTTGTGGCTATGTCTGTATTGTTGAGAAATAGTGACTTCTGTTAACTATCTGCAAATGAAGGTTTCAAGACATTAATACCAAGTTTTAGTAAGATTATCACGTTTGAGTTTGATCTTTCTGCAATTGCTACTGAGCTCTTTGACTATTGTAATTTATGCAGGGAAAGTGCTTCTTATTGTCTCATTACATGGGAAAGTCAATGTACTTAATCAATCAAGTGTTACTAATGCTAAACAATTGGAAGACTCGTCTACCATTTCACAGGATTTGGTCGGCTCGAAATCTTCGTCCAGCAAGTCTATCAAAGGGAAGTTTAACAAGAAGAGCATTGTGACTCGATTGGAGAGACTGTTCCATAAGAGCGATGAGGATACAAGAACAGATAATTCTTCGGAGTTATCAAGTGCCATGTCTGATAACGAAGAGCGCATAAACGAGCATCCCTCAGAATGTAGCTTCGATGAAGCCATCGAGACGCTGCAGTCGAGGAGAAGTGAACAGGAAATGCCAGAGAATCTACCGGGCGGCGTTCTTGTCGATCAAATATATGTAGTTTCACCTGATGATTTGAACAAACTTCTGTTTGCTCCAGATTCCAAGTTCAGGAGAGAACTAGCAGAACTTCAGGGAACAACAAATTTAGAAGAAGGAAACTGGTCTTGGAAGCAAGGGGACGTACCGTGTCTATCACGGATCGTTTCTTACCGAAAAGCTGCAACGAAGGTCATTGGAGCTATTAATGCTACCGAGGAGCAAACCTACATCAAAGGGGACGGATGGGAATTCGCTGTCTTCGTAAACGTAAGTACACCTGAAGTTCCATTTGGTAATGCCTTCAATGTTGAGTTACTTTACAAGATAATGCCTGGTCCTGAGCTAACCTCTGGAGAAGAGACGTCCCATTTGGTAGTCTCTTGGGGCATAAACTTCCTCCATAGTACAATGATGAAAGGGATGATTGAAAAAGGCGTTCGACAGGGTATGGAGGAAAGTTTTGTTCAATTTACGAACGTGCTGGCACAGCATTTAAAAGTACCGAATTCAACCGAGTTACCGAACAAGGATCTTGTGTTGTCGAGTTCTGAAAGTGACCGCCAATCGGATTTCGAATTGGCCCGAAAATACTTCTGGAACTTCACTATAGTTTCTACCATTTTCATGCTGCTGTACATACTTGCGCATATTACGCTTTGTAAGTCCAAAACAATGCAAGGCTTGGAATTCATTGGATTGGATTTGCCAGATAGTTTAGGAGAACTTGTTACTGGTGGGATTTTAGTTCTTCAATTGGAACGTGTTTATAACGTGGTCTCACATTTCATTCAAGCTAGGCTAAAAAGAGGTACAAGAAGCTAATTGTTGCTAGCTTATAGATATCTATTTAATGTTTCTGGTCTATACATTAATACCGACTTTCTCATATTGGCATCATGTCGTTTGCTTTGTATGTTTATAGAAGGTGACCATGGTGTCAAAGGCCAAGGAAATGGATGGATACTAACGGTTGCTCTTATCGAAGGGGTGAACATTTCGTCCTTGGATTCTTCGGATTCCTCGGACCCGTGTGTGGTTTTCACATGCAATGGTGAAAAAAGAACGAGCTCCGTTGAGCTTCAAACTCATGAGCCTCAATGGAATGGTAAGACATCTTTGCCTTTCCTTGTTAGAATCTCACCTTTTCGATGGGAAAGAATTTCTTGATTTAATGTTCTATTGTCAAAAATAAGCCTAAAATGGACGTGATGTTAAGGACGAGAAGTGTGAGATCCCACATCGGTTGGAGAGGGAATGAAACATTCCATATAAGAGTGTGGAAACCTTTTCCTAGTAAATGCATTTTAAAACCTTGAGCGAAAGCCCAAAAGGAAAAGTCCAGAGAGGACAATATTTGCTAGTGATGGGCTTGAGTTATTACAAATGATATTAAAGCCAGATACTACCAGGTGGTGTGCCAGCGAGGACGCTGGCACCCAAGGGGGTGGATTGTGAGATCCCACATTGGTTGGAGAGGGGAACGAAACATTCCATATAAGAGTGTGGAAACCTCTTCCTAGCAGACGTGTTTTAAAACCTTGAGGGGAAGCCCAGAAGAGAAAGGCCAGAGAGAAAAATATTTGCTAGCAGTGGACTTGGGCTGTTACAAATGATATCAGAGCCAGATACCAGGTGGTGTGCCAGCGAGGACGCTGGGCCCTCAAGGGGAGTGGATTGTGAGATCCCACATCGGTTGGAGAGGAGAACGAAGCATTCCATATAAGGGTGTGGAAACATCTTCCTAGCAGACGTGTTTTAAAACCCAGAAGGGAAAGCCCAAAGAGGACAATATTTGCTAGCGGTGGACTTGGGCTGTTACAAATGATATTAGAGTTAGATACCAGGCGGTGTGCCTATGTGCCAGCGAAGACGTTGGACTCCCAAGGGGAGTGGATTGTGAGATCCCACATCGGTTGGAGAGGGGAACGAAGCGTTCCATATAAAGGTGTGGAAACCTCTTCCTAGCAAACGCGTTTTAAAACCTTGAGGTGAAGCCCATAAGGGAAAGTCTGAAGAGGACAATATCTATTAGTGGTGGGCTTGAGCGATTACAAAAAGACTTTTGTCTTCTCAACCGGGATAGTTTTCTTGATTTAAATTACTATGATTATTATCATTCTGATTTGTTATGTAGTTCTTCTTCTCAATACGAACAATTTGCAAGCTTGTTATATCTAAACCAAATCTTAACGTAACGTGCAGAGATACTCGAGTTTGATGCTATGAAGGAACCGCCATCAGTATTATATGTGGAGGTTTTCAACTTCGATGGCCCACTCGACCAGGCTACCTCGCTCGGACACGCAGAGATCAATTTCCTAAAATATAAATCAACTGAACTTGCGGATTTATGGGTTCCTCTTGAGGGGAAGCTTGCTCAGTCTTCTCAATCAAAGCTGCATTTGAGAATCTTCTTAGATAATACCGATGGAGTCGAAACGATGAGACAGTACTTGTCTATGAAGGGAAAGGAGGTCGGGAAGAAGGTAAGCACATTTCTCAACACTTCTTTCTCTTTCCTGAGTCGATTAATTGTTGAAGGGATGCAGTCCACTTCCATTTTGCTGTTGTGAACGATCTTTCGGTTTATCGTGGCGTTTAGTAGTTTATGATTCTGATCTCGAACCTCTATGCTGGTCTAGTTGCTTCAATGATGGACTTTGGCTAACTTCTTTCTTGGGTGTGCTTTATTAGCTCCATCCGAGGTCGCCTTACAGGAATTCAACGTTTCAGAAACTTTTCGGGTTGCCAGCCGAAGAGTTTCTTGTCAGCGACTTCACTTGCTCCCTGAGAAGAAAAATGCTTCTCCAGGTACTATCACTGTTGCTATGCGAGTTTACTCATAACACGCTGACCGGAACGGAGCTTCTTACGAGTCTATTATTACGACCGAGTTGCTTAAAGCTTATGTTTCTCTGGAACAGGGAAGACTATTTCTATCTGCCAGAATCATTGGGTTTTATGCCAATTTTTTTGGACAGAAAACAAAATTTTTCTTTCTTTGGGAGGACATTGAAGATATTCGAGTACTTCACCCGTCCCTCGCCTCTTTGGGTAGCCCATCATTGGTCGTAATTCTTAAAAAAGGTCGAGGTCTCGAAGCAAGTCACGGTGCTAAGATTCAAGACGAACAAGGAAGGCTTAGATTTTACCTCCAATCATTTGTTTCATTCAATGTAGCCAGCAGGTAACTACCACGTATTTGTTGTCTGTCGTACTGTGTCGATGTTGGACGTTACTTTTTCATAGATGTTAAAGCTGCTGCAATTGTTCGTTTGCAGGACGATTATGGGGATGTGGAGAACAAGAACGTCGACCCTCAATCAGAAAGTACAAGCTGCTGGAACGCCGAATGATTAGGAAGAAAGGTCGGTTTTGATGGTGAATGTGGAATGTTTTTTTTGGATATAGAAGATGAAAAAATGTAGAAGTTTTATGATGCAGAATTTCATGTAAATGTTGCTGACTGGTTTTAAAAGTTTGAAACTAAGCAGACATTCACTTTTGTTGATGATCAGATGTCATTTGATGAAGTTTGTACAGAACAATCTGGAACGAGATAGCTCGTGGGAATTCGTGAGACCTGATATCACATTGGAAGGCACATCCATACCAATCCAACAGCATTCTGGGGATTAGGAGGAGGTTGGGTTTGATTTCGGGGCCAGGCCGGGTGGAGAAATCCAATATGAGGTTGGGTTCGATTTCTAGGCCAGGCCGAGTAGAGAAATCCAACATTGATTAGGAGGAGGTTGGGTTTGATTTCCGGGTCAGACCGGGCTGATAAATCCAACATTGATTAGGAGGAGGTTGGGTTCGATTTCTAGTCCAGGCCGGGTGGAGAAATCCAACCTTGATTAGGAGGAGGTTGGTTTCGATTTCTAGTCCAGGTGGGGTCGAGAAATCCAACCATGATTAGGAGTAGGTTGGGTTCGATTTCTAGGCCTGGCCGAGTAGAGAAATCCAACATTGATTAGGAGGAGGCTGGGTTTGATTTCTGGGTCAGACCAGCTGATAAATCCAACAGTTCGATTTCTAGTCCAGGCCGGGTGGAGAAATCCAACCTTGATTAGGAGGAGGTTGGTTTCGATTTCTAGTCCAGGCGGGGTGGAGAAATCCAACCGTGATTAGGAGGAGGTTGGGTTCGATTTCTGGGTCGGACTGGCCGTAGAAATCCAACATGACAAGGAGGAGGTTGGGTTCGATCCGGGCCAAGAGCTGGAGGTGAGGTCATAAGAAAAGATTATCATCAAGGAAAGAGAGTTTTATTCGACATAAATTCATATTATGTTTTTATTTATATTTAGACTGTAATTTTAGTTACTGTAATTTTAGTTAATTAAAATTATAAATTCTGTCCAGAAAAGATTATCATCAAGGAAAGAGAGTTTTATTCGACATAAATTAAATTCATATTTTAATGGAACATATGTTTTTATTTATATTTAGACTGTAATTTTAGTTAATTAAAATTATAAATTCTGTCATCATCTTTATTAAATAATAAATCAAAATTATAAATTCTGTATCATCTTTATTAAATAATAAATCATAAAATATTTAAGTAACATATTTGAGTTAAATTAGTTCATAATCATTTTTATTTAATAATAGACTTATTTATTTTTTAAGTTTTTTTTTTTTTTTTTTTT